GAATTTTCCTCCCGAATTTGCTGGATTTCAGCCCCCCCCCTACGCCAGCGGAGAGCCCTGGCGAGGCGGCGATACCCTCCTTCGAGCGCTGAAGCCGCTCCAGCCTCAGCTGGAGATTCTGCAGCCCAGGGCGATGCCTCGTACAAACGCCTGTGCTGGGTCAGGCCCAAACTGGGCTGGTGCCCTCGACCCAGAGCGGAGGCTGCTGGGGATACTGGGGGAGCGGGTGCAAAACCAGCGCGGTTTGCTCAGCGCATCCTTCGCACCGGGTGCCTTGGAGGTTTCCTGAGCTGAGCTTTGCACCCGTGGCCCCGAGCAGCTCCTGGTCCCTCCTCCTCAGGCTCGTTTTCGGATGAAGAAAAAACCACGGCTTGCCACGACGGCCAAGGCTGGGTCCCCCGCGAGCGGGTGAGCTCGGCTCCTCGTTCCCGTGGTGCCACCCGAGCGTGCCAGCGGCGCTCAGCGCCGACAGGGCGCGTTATCTCTGCTGAGCGCAGCACAAACCTGGCCTGGCCCGGGCCCGATGATCCTCCTTCACAGCAGGTCAGGAGACAGATGAGAGCCGAGCTGCCCAAGGCTGGGCTCCGGATCGGCGGGTAGAGCTGGAGCCAGCCGAAAATCCTCCCGTGCCGTGCTCTGTCTCGGCCCTGGCAGAGCCGCGGGGAGGATTTCAAAGGGGTCGCAGGCAATTTCGGCATTTCCCGGCCAGCCCTTGGGTAAGAAATGGCTGGCTCCTGCCTTTGTCTGCTAGCACGGGCTTCCTTCTCTCTGGGGTTTATCCGCTGCCCCTAAAGCAGTTTGAGTGTTTGCAGGAGGTTGTACATTTTGTTTATTTTGGGTTGCGATTGCTTTATTTCTGTTTCAAAGCTTTAGGAAAATACGGTCGTGACAGTAACTGAGCACACTCGAATGTTACACACTGATCTCAGCCACCTGCTAGTAATGAAATCAAGGGCAAAAACGAGACTTCCAGTTTTTTGGTCAGTGCTTTTCCCCATTCCACTCCTTTCAGGTGACCTGATGTTCGGCTGCCCCTTGCCTGCTTCCAGCAGAAATCTCTCCTGAAGGTGCAGAAGCTCCAAGTTACCAGAGCGCTGACCTGGGGAGCTGGAGGTGGTTGGGTTTTCGGAGCACAACGAAAACCTCTTGCAAAGCATTTCCTGAGATCTACTAACCAAGAGGATTAAATCCTTTTTTTTTTTTTTAAGTAATTACTTGAATAAATATCTCCTTTCCAAACTTGCAGGGCCCCTGGCAAGGATCTGAAACTTCAGTAGGCAAATGAATATAAACTCTTTCACAGCCTGACAGCGTGTACCCGCAGCAGAAGTAAGCCGACTTAACCAGCCGGTAATTACCCACAAACACGCTCCCTCCCTAATTGCTGGGGCTTTCTGGGAGCACTGGCTCAGGCAGCACACCCTGGGGGCAACAGGCTCTAAAATTGTCTTTGAAAATAAATAATAAAAAAAAAGACTTAAGGATTTTAAAATCCTTTAAAGCTTTAGTAACTGGTGTTTTGTAGCTGAGCCAGGAGAGGTGAGCACAAGCTTTGTTGGGTGAGCGGGGCAGAGAAGCTGTCCAAGGAGACTTGGGCTCCAGAGGAACGAGGATCGCTCACCAGTACAAACCAGTACAACCCATTGTTTCTAATGCGTTTATCCTGCCCAAGCCACATCCGTCTGCCTGCAGCGCAGACCCTGATGGAGCGAGGTGCTGTCCCAGGAGCTGCGACGGTGCCGAGGACCACGTTGGGGGTCACTTTCCCTCCAAAGGATGCAGCTGCAGAGGAATTCCCTTCTCCACCCCCCAAATACTCCAAGCTTCCTTCTTCCAGCCCACCAAAGCCAGGTTGCTAGTGGGTTTTCCCACCGGAGACTGTCCGTGGGGAGGTGGGGGGTGACCAGCCGTGGTGGCAATCCAGCTCCCCGATCTTCAGACAGGAGCAGAGCACGTAAGGGAAGGAAACAACAGTGCGTGTCTTATCTGTTCCAGATGCCCCAGTAGCTCCCTGTATGGTTTTCTGCTGCTTCCCTTTGTCCTCGGGGTCTGGGCTGGCCAAAACCACCAGGCCGGTGAGGTCCCAAAAGGCCGGACAAGGCAACGGTTGTCCCCAGTGAACCTCGGTGTTTGCTCTGAGGCGACTTCCCTTAAGCAATCGGCCCTGCCTTCCCATTCAGCGCTCCTGCAGACTCGTACAGTCAGCATCTTGATAACTAGGGCACTGTCAATCCCTAAATAATTACTGAGCTGTTACAT